GTATTACATAGTAATATTTCATTTGGTTTTTTAAAGGTATTCTTTTTAGACCCAAAATCGTGGCTGTGGGCTATCGCCAATTGCAAGGGTATACGCAGAAGAGAATCTCCCCTTTCAATTTCTAGATAACATTGTGGCATTTGACTTTCATTTACCAGGAAATATCTGGGGTTGCGTGTAGTGGGGAAATTTTGACATATTGTTTGTCTTAGAAAGGCTAGTTGTCTTAAAGAGTTCCTTCTGTATCCACCTTATAATCGCAAGCAACACTCATTTTTATGTTAAGTGAGCATGTTATAACGAGCCTTTCAGCCATAGTAAGGATATCAGGGTGAAAGGCCTGAGAATTGCAGTAGAAAATCTCAACCCTTGCAAGGCTGGAAAATCCCTTTTTTCAATATCTCATATATTTTTTGTAAGCTGGGAAGATGAGAATCCCGAATGTGTCCCTATTGTCATGATCCTTTTCCAAAGAAAATTGTTACAAGCAGTTTTATCCAGGAGATATTCTTTGAAATAGCACATTTCTCTGAAAATGAAATCTGTTTTCGCTATTTTGCTGGTGGGGGTTGCTTCAATCTTCCTAATACCCTCGCAAATCGTCTCTACCTCCATATTAGTAACCTATGAGAGGTCTGTGGGGCCATGATGTTCAATGACAAGAGTAAACTGAGGATTGATTGCTCAAAAATTTTATATTAACTACAATGAAGAGAAAGGGCCTGAGCATGGAAAAGGACCTGTACAGTCTTAATATATCCCCTCCCTCTCCGCTTCACTTAAAGTGCGAAAAGTTCGATGTGACCCCCTCCATTTAGTGGGATCCGTACTCAACTTACAGAAAATATTATCTAGAATGTAAATTTACAAATCCTGCAACACGGTGCCCGAGAAAGTGGGATTCAGTTTGCAGGAGAAAAGGGAAGTTAACGATGGAGCTCAATCTTGTAGTCAACCATCCATCTACGGATCATCTTAAAGCTCTTATGGGTCCACTCATATAATCTGGCTGAAATAAGCGTGAAACGCACCATTCCTCTGCGTTGGAAGAAGTATGTTTTAATAAAGAAAATTAAAGCTTAAGTGAATTGACTGTAAGGTAGACATGACCTTTCACTAGATTCAGTTTTCAATTATTTCAAAGATGGAAATGAAAATCTCATGGCATAGCGCGAAGCTACATTTCTCTAGTTTAAAAAATCAAAGGGTCTCTTAGCAAAGTAGGGAATGGCGATGATTCTACATTATTGTTTGTGATCTTAATGTGTAACACATAATTCCTTGACCTATCTTCTATTGACTGTAATCTGTATGTTTTGTGAACGCTAAAGAAAAATTTGTTTATTTTAAAATAGAAAAGAATGTACAATACTGTTCTTCTCTATCATATCATTATTTTTAAAATTGATTAAGCATTTTAAGTTAAATTAATTTTAATTCCCAAAGTAGAAAATTGAGGTTTCATCAATGTTACAGTTTATAGAAAAGAAGTTCATTTTATCTACTTGGTAAGAACTATGACAAATTTAATGCCTTTACTTTCAGCCATCTACCTCAACAAACGTTTACTCAGGAACGAACAAAAGCACGGGCTAGAAGAAGATGAAGCCGAATCATATAATAGGTACTTCAAAATATTGAGATGATCAACTCGCTTTGAGCATAGGGTTTATTTCAGATTCGCCGAATTATTAGGCCATATGTGGGGATTTATTACGCAACAAGCAGAAATGCAACTAAAACAGCAAAAGGAGAAGAAAAAGGCTGACAAGGTGAGTGCAACGAGTATTCCTTGAAAGTCGAAAGTAGCCAGAGAAAGTTCACATAATCCAGTTTACCTGATTTACTACGATCTGCTAGTTGTTCGTGAAATACTATATGGTAGAAGCTTTTTTTTCGTTAAAATCAAAGAATTTTCCAGACTTTACGAGATGTGATGCGAAAATTGATGAACATTCTAAGAGAATTCCTAATTTGATTCCAAGTTTTCAATGAGGAAACTCTTTTAACCGCTTTTTTGTAGCAATTTTAAGAAATTTCATTTTTGATTCACATCCTGAATAGCCAAAATTGCTCGAAAATGATGCATGTAAGTGGCAAGCTCTGTGATTTTACGAACACATTGAAAAAAATTGATGCGCAAAAATTACACTTTAATTATCTAGAAAATCAACTTATTCTTTTAGGTAGTTTACGACTCGGAAGAACGAGCGTTCTGGAGGCTTCGACGACCGTGTCATCCGGATTTTCTTGAACAACACGTTCAAAAGGTTAGCTCATTCAGCTCCATGTCACTTCATTCCCATGTAATCTTTCATTTTACAAAGTCTATCTTTTCCCTTGAAAATTTAAACTTCAGAAGATTGCTCATCTGCTTATGGAGTAATTCACCCTCTTTTAGGTAGATCGAAGGCTACGAAAAGCCACAGCACAAGGATACCGTAATCTTGTCGAACGACTTAAGTTCTCTTTGAAAACAAAACCATGGTTAAAAGCATTGAAAGCATCAGACACGTAAGTGACGAAAACTCCGCTTGTTAAAGGGGATAAAACTCCTTATTATAGTATGGTACAATGGGTAGACGAACGGGTAGACTACGATCCATTTCTAACCGTTCCACAGCCATCAAATCCGTGGATTACCGACGATACGAATCTATGGACACTGAATACCGACACGTGAGTGTTTCTACGCCAGTGTTTTGGAGGACAGCAAATTTTCCTACTATATTTACTAACTGTCTTTGCACATCTATAGTAACATCTTTTTTGCATGAGAATTCAACACTTGATTCTGAATGTGCAGTTTTCAAGAAAAAAAAA